ATCTCTATGACTACCCTTTGCCTCCTAGTTCTTTCCTCTATTTCTTTGTACTTTCTTGTCCCACGATCATGTTCTGCCTTCATTTGGGTTTTAGGAATTCCTTTATGTTACCTTGCCCTTGATTCAGCCCTGCCAGGCCTCCCGCACCGTCCTTGACACTGATTTTGGATCACTTGTTGTCCCTTGTCCCTGGGCTTAACACCCTCTTCCTTTCCCCTGCCACCCCTACCCCCATAGCTTCTGTGTTTTAAACGTCTGCCCAACAGTATAAGAGAATACACCCAAGACCGGGCTCTGTCTCTCACTAGTTGTGCTGATGGATCATTCCTTATCAGTACATTGGGGTGATTGACAGAACCAAGCTCTCTAAGTGGCTGGGGAGATTAAATGAAATATTGCATGTAACTCCTGAGAGGGTCTGTTTGTCTCCTAGTGCACGACGCAAGCACTTCTCTGGGCCAGTGGTTCTCACAACTGAGGGTGCTCGAGAATCGCTCACAGGACCTGTTAGAATACCTGCTGTACATTTCTAACAAGTTCCCATGTGGAGAATCAGTGCCCTGAGGTTCAAGGGGGCTTGAAAATATTCATGGAAAAGTGGAGTGAAAGATAATGGAATTTCTCCATGAACTGTTCAAGCTTCCCAGTATGGTGATACTAGGCACATGCTGGACTGCTGCCCACAGAGTTGGCAGTTCATGCTCACCAACCACTCTGCAGGCGAAAGATGAGGCTGTCTTCTTCTGTAAAGGTGTACAGCCTCAAATTCTAAACAGGGTCTCCACAAGTCAGAATCGACTGGCTGGCAATGGGTGGGTTTGTATATACTTAGATGTGCCCACTCGCCCTTTAGGGTGGTTGTACAAATTCACATGCCTGCCACCATCTTTTTAAAGACATCATGCTGTTTCTGACTAATCTGCAACACCAGGAAAGGGTCAGAACTCCTTAGTAAGGACTCACATCCTGGAAACCTCCAAACCAAGTGGGCTGCCACCTAGTTTCCTCCAACTGTGGTCTCAAGGTTTCAGTTGCCTTACAATTAATTGCCAATTATAGATGATTACTGACAATATTCAGATGGCACATAAATAACACACTGTAAAAAGCAAACACTTTACAATAAAGAGGGGAAAGATATCTATCCTATGGTATAATAATTTCTTTTCTCTCTTTCCTTATTGGTTGTAACAAGCAGTACTGATATACCTTGGAGATGAAGGGGCTTTAAAAAGTATGTGGAAAAATGCCCACTTATCTTTTAATTCAATTTTCCATGAACCTTTTGAAGCCCCCTGTATTGGGGGTTTGGCTCCAGGCCACTGTTCTAAAGGCGATACCACAAGAAAGCGGGTCACAGGAATTGCTTGGCTTCTTGGTGCATGTCATTGTGTTTGCATGAATTCTGTAGTCTAAAAAGTGAGTAATAACATTATGAAAATGTTTGAAATATTGTGAGAATTAGCAAAACGTGACCCAAAACAAAGTGAGCACATGCTGTTGGCAAGAATGATGCCCACAGACTTGACTGAGGCCGGGCTGCCACTGACCTTCCATTTGTAAGATATAGCAGGACCTGCCAAGCATCACAAAGCAAGGGACACCTGTGCTATAGAACACACAACTATTTTGAGGAGGAGACTTAAAAACCTAAGTTCTATCTTTTTTACCACCTCACATGCTCCACCCTTCTTCTTTTCCTAAGGGAGTTTTCTCAGGATGGCCAAACTCCCAATACGTTAGGTAAGCCGCTTGATCCAATACCACCACCTCCTCCCTTGTAATTACCAGGTAATAGTCCTTAATGAAGCCTTTCGGCACTTTCCCGAGTTGAATATTGTTGCAATCAAGTGCAGAGAGTAAAACCAAGCAGCAGTTCAAGTGCTGGGCTTGCCCAAGCTGCATAATGAGCTGATGACAACAATCACAGTCAACGCCCTATGCTTGACACCGCCAGCTCGCTACGCTCAGAGAGTCAGTTAGGGATCTCGGTTCTATTTTGTTTGAAAGAGGATTACAACAAAATTTAAGATCCTACACAATGCCTACATTTATTCCTTGGATAACTTTACCTAGTGTTTTATTCCCTATCGAATTATAGATGTCAAAAGGATTTTTAAAAAATGTACATGATCTAGTTTCCTGAGGCCAGAAGAGTTACAATATTTCCCTAAAGAAGCAGGGACACATCCAACCTGGCC